TTCCTATTCTATTCAATTCTTCTATTCTATTCTATTCTATTCTATTCTTCTATTCTATTATTTTCTATTCCATTCCATTGTTCCTATTCCTATTCTATTCAATTCTTCTATTCTATTCTATTCTATTCTATTCCATTCCATTATTCCTATTCCTATTCCTATTCCATTCCATTCTATTCTTCTATTCTATTCTATTCCATTGTTCCTATTCCTATTCCATTCCATTCTATTCTTCTATTCTATTCCATTCCATTATTCCTATTCCTATTCCTATTCCATTCCATTCTATTCTTCTATTCTATTCTATTCCATTGTTCCTATTCCTATTCTATTCAATTCTATTCTATTCCATTCCATGGTTCCTATTTCTATTCTATTCTTCTATTCTATTCTTCTATTCTATTCCATTCCATTGTTCCTATTCCTATTCTATTCTTCTATAATTCTATTATTCTATTCTATTCTATTCTATTCTATTCTATTATTCCATTCCACTCCACTCCATTCTAGTATTGCCCATTCCTTGGTTGTTAAGCAAATAACTGCAGCTGTTAAGCAAAACATATAGTCGTTAAGCAAATCTGGCTTCCCACACTGATTTTGCTTGTTGAACATTGGTTGCAAATGTGGCCACACAACCCCGGGATTCAGTGCAACTTCCACAAATACATGTCAGTTGCCAGGTGTGACATGCTGCAACCATGGTGAGAATGAGAAATGGCCACCCGTCCCTTATTCGTGCTGCTGCACCTTCAAACGGTCACTCAACAGACGGCTGCAAACCAAGGACCACCCTGTAGCACATGCGCAGGTGGGATACGCGTGACTTGAAGATGCTTACCTGTTAGGCGAATCGGGATCAAAGCAGGTCTTCGTGACGTCCGTTATATCCGGATTGCAGCAATCCCCACCGTCGAAGTTGTACTTCTCTGAGTTGCAATCCATGTCACAAACGCCGTTCTGCTTCTTCTTGTGGAAGGAAAGTTGGCGCACGTGGCGGCAGTCTCCCCCGTCAAAGCCGGTCAGCGTATGATTGCACTCCAGATCGCAGCTCTCATCCCCAATCTTGCTGATTTCGCAGTTGGCCAGGATGAGGCGGTCGCGGAGGAAGGAATCGTTGATCTCCAGCACCTCTATTTCCCACGAGATGTTGTACGGGCTGAAGGCGTCGTTGAGCTGCCGGTGCTGGAACTCGATCTGTTGCTGGCTGATGGTCGGGTTGCGGTGACGGTCGTCGTAAATGTTCACCACGCGGTAACGGACCACCTTCCTGTGGCGGAAGGTGGGGATCTGGTTGTAGCTGGCGATGACCTCCATGTTGTCGCAAACTGTTTGGCCACAGAGAGGAGGCGCCAGGCTGGTATCCAACAGGTAGCCAGAGTGGAAGGTGAACTCGGTCAGAGGAAGACGTGGGCTGTCTTTCATGGGAGACCAGCGGCTTTTCACATTCACCAACGTCTCCTGAAACACTAGCTGAGGTAGAGGAACATCTACTTCATGAGCCACCAGAGTCATGTCCAGCAGTATCTCCTTCTGGGAACGGACTGTTCTCCAAAGGCTAAAATGTTCAATGTACCCTCGGTAATTTTGGTTCAGGGTGTTGCCGCCCAGCATTAGGATCTTACATTTCAAAGTCAAAGGGCTGAAGATACTCCCTACTTGTTCTCTGCTGGATGCCACCTGGGCCCCATTTACATACATCTTCATCAAACGTCCGTCGTAAGTGATGGCGAGGTGAACCCACTGATTCGGAAGGTAGCTATGGTGATCCGTGATGGTGGTGACTCTCCGGGCACGGTCAGTCTTCAGTGAGAAGAAGTAGCGAGGATCTCTGTTACCTTGGTCACTGACGTTGTTAATTCCCAAAACCCATCCTCGGTCCAGGGTGGTGTAAGAACATTTGTCGTATAATCCTGAGTGTCCCCAGCACACACAGAAAAGAAAAAAGGAAAGAAAGGAGAAGAGAGTGAATACAAGGGAGCATCACATCATGATATGATTAATTTGGACCAGAAGTGGTCAATCCTAGATTCAACCAGAGGTGGGTATTCAGCCGGTTCGGACTGGTTCGGGCGAACTGGTAGCTCCAATGATCAGTTGGCCATGCTCACCCGCCCTCACCGTATGCTGTCCTTTATTTCCTGCTTTCTAGCTCATCTCAATCGTGCAACACAGCTGATTCTCCACCTTACTGTTCTACTTACCATTGCTGACTTGGAAAGTGAGCAAGCAACTGAGCTTGTAAACACTCCATTTTTCAGCACTTTGCCCATGCAATCCCCCAACCAGTTGTTAAACCGGCCCCACTGGATTCGGACCTTGTTTCTCGGCACTTAACTTGAGCCCATCCATCCCTGCAACACCCAGCAGAAAGTTGTCTCATGCCAGCGTCACGAGAACTCTCATTCATGCCCCTTGAAGTATACGCTTAACGTCAATCCATTCAACCAAATCCTCATTATCAAACGATTCATTCGCGAAATTCTCAGAACCTTCCCAAAACGTGTGGCAGTTCCTGGAATTCTTCCGCACAAATCCGCGCGAGAGAAGGGAGGAATATAAGCTGCTTATCTATGCGCAAGAGGGAGAAGATGTTTCATCTCACGTTACCGAACACTGTACGAAGAAAACTATGAGTAAGGTTTTGAGCATTTCCCAGAAAGGATCCCTGGGAACTGATTTGAGAATCTCTCATACTGATGCTGGGGGCTTACAGCTAGTTATATTGCCAGTCGTCATCCAGACGGGTTTAGAAAATCTACTTGCCCAGTGCTCTTTGAGCCCGTACGCCAGGGATGTCAAACTCAATTTCATTGAGGGCTGCATCAGGGTTGTGTTTCATCTGGGGGGGGGGCATGGCCAGGGGGGCGTGGCCAGCTTGATGTCACTTATCGAAGCTCCATTTTCAGCTGCAACGGCCTCCTGCAACCCTCTCCCAGTAAAAATTGAGCCCGGAAGGCATGAACGTGGCCTTTCCAAGCTCTATTTTCACTTGCAGAGTGATGCAGGAGGCCGCCACAGCCTAAAACAGAGCCCAGGCAGGCCACACACATCCTCCGCAAGCTCCGTTTTCACTGGCAGAGGCACCACAGGTCAATCCGTTGCTGTTTCCAGGCCCGCGGGCCTTGAGTTTGACATCCCTGCCATACACCAATACACATCATTTCTACCCTAACACAAAAATCTTAACACATCCCTTATTATGTGGAGAGTGGAGTAAGATGGAAGGAGGTAGCTGAATACCAAGAGTGTGGGAAGTAGAAGAATACTGACAGAATGGGCCCCACTACATATAAACCTCCGAAATAGAAAACAAAGTCTACAACCTTGATTGTTTGTGTGTGTGTGTGTGTGTAAGAAGGTATTTTTTGTGGCCCGCCAGGTAACCTTAAGGTAAAGGTTTCCTTTACACATATGTGCTAGTCGTTCCCGACTCTAAAGGGCGGTGCTCATCTCTGTTTCAAAGCTGAAGAGCCAGCGCTGTCCGGAGACATCTCCATGGTCATGTGGCTGGCATGACTCAACACCAAAGGCACACGGGGCGCTGTTCCCTTCCCACCAAAGGTGGTCCCTATTTTTCTACTTGCATTTTTTATGTGCTTTCGGACCGCTAGGTTGGCAGAAGCTGGGACAAGTAACGGGGGCTCTCTCCGTTACGCGGCACTAGGGATTCGAACTGCCGACCTTTCTGATTGAGAAGCTCAGTGTCTTAGCCACGGAGCCACCGCATCCATTTGTCCTATTTATAACCCCCCACCACTTTATATTTTTAGAGGCCGGTGCAAATATATTAAAAAAGTAGAAGTGCCAGCTTTCTAATAATAGAATTTTGTTTGTGGAGGAAACACTTAGCTGTGGTATTCCATACTTACAGTTGACTTTGCCACAGCCCAGTTAGCCTCATGCACCATTGGAATGCAGCCAAGATACATCTCATTACAATAAATATTTCACAGCAGCTTCCATTCCTTTTCTCTATCCCTTGTCTCTTTCTAAATGGGGCTGCAAATGCCACACACGACCATTGATGGAGTCAATAACTATTATAAAATACCATTGGTGTTGTCTTCTTAAAGGACAACAGTCAAAATCTTCGCTTGCCCGAATGGCAATGGAATCCTTGTTCGGGATCAAATCAGATTGAAATGAAGGAGACAGTTAAACGAAAAATAAATTGGACAGAATGACAGAGTCGGAAGGGACCTTGGTGGTCTTCTAGCCCAACCCTTGCTCAAGCAGGAGATGCTATACCATTTCAGACAAATGGCTGTCCAATCTCTTCTTAAAATCTATAGTGGCCCACTAGTGGCCCAGCGGAGCTGGCAGCATAGTTGAACAGTGAGGAGGTTGGGGAACAACATGGGCCAGTCCTGGAGTCTGGGGAAGGCTCAGACGAGGGCTCTGCGTCAGAGGAAAAGATGGGGTGGAGGCCGTCTGGCAGTTCTTAGCTGCCTTTGAAGCTAGACAGCAGTGAGGCAGAGGAACAGCCGGAGCCTGTTCCCAGTGTGCGCATGTGCAGAGCTGCCAGAAGAAAAGAACAGCTAAGAAATCAGGGTCGACTTGGGAGTAAAGCCACAGGTGGAAGGTGATTGGCCCCTCCCATAGGTAATAAAAGAGGAGCGAAAGGGGAGGGGTTTTTTGCAAGAAACAATTCGTTCATTCATTTGTTCATGTCAGGAGTGTGAAGATCTGTCCATGAATCTCAGAGACTCTATGCCAAGCCTCTCCTTGCACAGCACCGCGTTTGGAAAATATTTACATGGCAGCTTTCCAAGCTAGATAAGGTCTGTGGTCACAAATACTCCTTTGAAAGACTGTTTGCCAGGCCTTGGCTGAATCTGCATGAGAGGAATTCACCTTCGTTTAATAAAAGGGGTTTTGTCGGGACCAGGACTCTGCCTTATGCTTTTGGGGGAAGCCTAGGTCAGAACGGTTGGAAACATGAGTGGCGTTTACAAAGACGGAGCGGGACAGGGCCCTGTTTTGATCAAACCTTCCAGGAAGAGAGGTCTGGGTGGAGATAGACCACCGGTCATGTTCTTCAGGGGAAAAAAACAAAAAACAAGGAGAGCTAATTTCCCCCTGAGTAACTTCTGGAAGTTGTCATGCCTTTCATGGCTGGGATAATCCAACCCAAGGTGACAGGTCTTAGTTATGAAAGGGGAATTTCGGTCAACAATCAAAGCTGCAGTCAAGAGGCCCATGGATGGGGAGGAAAAGGTTGGAGCTCCCGTCTTTCTCCTTTTTGCATGCTTTAATCACTTCGTATCAAATTTGCCGCAGAACGCTTGAAAGAGCAACAATTCCGCAAGAATCTATCCGGAGCTTTCTTCTGGGCAGCAGAAAATAATTAAGAGAGACAGATTTGGGTTAACTATTTCCATGGTGCATGCGACTGAATCAAGTTGGGGATGACTGACCCAACGCATTGCCAAAAATCAGTGGAGATTTCTTGGGCTGTTGGGTAGATTGAGAAAACAACCCGAAGAGCAGAGAAAACTTTCCTTCGCTGGGCTCGAAAACCTCCTACCTTTTCCTTCCAAGTGGAACTCAAACAATTCAAGAAGCTGTAGCTGTGAAGGGAAAGATGCCCAGCTTTTATTTCTGCCCTTCTGATTGGAAGTGGAGAACCTGTGGGTAGAGGGGAACCCATATTTCCCGGCGGCTTTGATGAATCCCTCCTTAATATTTCCAAAGTGGTTGTTAGAAAGCTTATAAAGCACCACTTATGGGGAATGGTTGCAGCTCAGGGATGAAATGAGGTGCTCTCTGAACTTACAGATGTTTCATTAACCAAACTAGGTAACATCATCAGTGCTAGAAGGGAGTTGGGTTTGGAGGAGGAGGAGGAGGAGGACGACGACGACGACATGGAAGAGAAGGGAAAATCTAAGAAGATGGAAGAGGGAGGAGGAAAAGAAGAAAGCAGAAGGAAGAATGTAGAAGAAAAGGAGGAAGAGAAGGAGGAAGAGAAGGAGGAGGGGGTCAAGCTATTTTCCAAAGCACCTGAAGGCCAGACAAGAAACAACGGATGAAGAGATTCAATCTTAAAAATAAGGAGGAATTTTCTGACCGTGAGAACAATCAACCCATGGAACAGAAGTTGCCTTCAGAAATTGTGGGAGCTTCATCCCTGGAAGCTTTCAAAAAGAGACTGGACCGCCATCTGTCAGAAATGATGTAGTGTCTCCTGCTTCTGTGGGGTGCGTTGGACTAGATGACCTACAAGATCCCTTCCAGCTCCATTCTGATTGATTGATTCAACTTAGAAATAAGGAGAACATTTTCTGACAGTGAGAACAATCAACCCATGGAACAGAAGTTCCCTTCAGAAGTTGTGGGAGCTTCATCCCTGGAAGCTTTCAAGAAGAGACTGGACTGCCCTCGGTCAGAAATGATGTAGTGTCTCCTGCTTCAGTGGGGTGTGTGTGTGGACTAGATGACCTACAAGGTCCCTTCCAACTCTGCTAATCTGTTACTAGATTTGCCTTTCTGGCGGTCTAGCAGAAATAAACTTTCATTCATCTCTCATCCTATTCCATCTTAGCCCACCCTCACGACATCCCCGGCTGCTCTTGGCACAAAGAGGTAAGATGACAGCCAAGATGATGGACGGTCCAGACTATTCAGAGACACGGAGAAAATGAGGAAAACTCTCAGCTCTGTCATGCGTTTCCCCATCTTGTTCTCGCATTGGCAACCTCGTGGCCTCCAAATATTTTAGCCCACAACTCCCACAGTTCCTTGCCAAGAGCCTGTCCTGGCTGGGACGGATGACAAGCCTAGAATGGGCCAGTTTAACTTATTCCTGATTTAGTTGTTGTGAAGAATTATTATTGGCCCTTTCAATCTTAGGAGCTGTTGAAATGTTTATAAACATTTCACAAGCCCAATTGCGGGATCTATGGGCCTA